AACCTCCTTTTGTAGGGCAGTGGCTCCTAAGGCATGATTGCTGATTCCTCCTTATCCACCAACTATTATGAAAGGTATCTCATGGGAAGAATCTCTATGTCAGCTTGGCAGGAAAAATCCTTGATGCTGAGAGCCCCCACCACAATCAGGGAAGCTGCTGGAGACAGGAGAAAATGAGGGATCAACAGTACTATCTGAAATTTTCCTTGGTATGCCCTTCAAGGAGGAAGAAGAGGTGCAGGACTAAGTGGGAATGACTCAGGAGGTAAAGCCACTGCCAGGCGACAGGAAAGCAGGTCTCTAGAAAGTTTAAGAGAAGTTCCTAGATGCAAAATTTCCTTGGAAATCTGTTTTCTGGGAAAACCCTGAAATATGAAGGTCCTCAATGGAGAAAAAAAAAAAAAAGAAATACGAGGAACTACTCTTTCAGTGCAAAATTCACGTTATCAACCACTTCTCTTTGGACCTTCTGGAAATTGCTGTAAAAGTATCTTTAAAACTAAAGTTTGGTGAAAATACTTTCATACCTAAACCCAGAACTAGTTCTAGGGTTTTTTCCCCCTTATGACAAACTCAGCTGTAGTCACGAATTAGAAAAGGGAACATGGAATATTAAGTACAACAAAGCTCTAGCTTCTAGGCTAGCAGCTAGTTTCTTCCCCTCTACCCTTCTAATTCCCTTTTGGCTGTGACAGTTCCTGTATTCTGCTTTAATACCTCACTAACAAAATTCTACGCATAGTGAAGTGGAGCTGTTTGCAAAGTGGAGCTATTTGCTTTACTGCGAACAGGTCACAAGTACCACGTAAATTACAAATGAGAATGTGTTTCAAGGTATACATATTTTGAAATACCAGATTATCAACCCAGACTACTTTATAGCTAAAGCATGATGCACTCCTAAAGTGCACAGAGTTAAAAGTTACAATGGTGCTAAATGAAGACATATATAACATCCTCCACTGGTATGCTTAGATGATGTATGGTTGATAAATCACTAAGAAACTGTTTATATTACTAAGCGGGTTAGTAATGAAGCTAAGCTAAAAATAAAGGCAAAAATTACTCATATTGCTAGAGGAGACCCATAAATTCTCAGGACCTCCCTTTCCACCAAAATGCAGTACTCAGTTCCTGATGTGGCTTTGGTCCTAAGTCTTTAAAGTGCTATCTGAGAAAGGACATGCTGCACTAACACATGGGACACTCACTGTAGCTGTGGCACTATCCCAGAGCTCTCAGATGCCGGTGTTGCGGGAGTTATTGGAGTCATCGGAGTCATTGGAGAGGGGTACAGAGGGGTGGTTCCCGGCAAAGGGGCTGTGGTAAGAGTCTGTGAGTGGAAGAGCTGGGGAGTTTGACCAGATGTTCCCTGCGTCGCTTGCTGTGATGTAGATTGCTGCGCTGCTTGCTGCTGCTGCTGCTGCCGCTGCTGTTCCTCTAGGATGGACAGACTGTTGGTGCTCTGGACAGGCTGTGGTGTCAGTCCTGTGCCGTATGGCATCATCGGGCTAAAAATTGGAATTCCTGGAGTCATTGCACCCTGCAGAAGAAAGCACGAAACAGAAGCCACAGATCCTGTTGACTCCATTTTGTTTTTAAGAGAAAAGGTTTTCAGGAGGAGTCTAAAAATAAATCAATGTAAGTTGATCATATCAAACCTGAGGCATATAGCAGTAACTCACTAAAAACAGAAAGCCCTTGGAAATGCAGTTCTTCTATAAAATAAAATATTATCTCTAGGGATCCGTCAGTTCTGCCGTTGTTCATCTCCAGCCAGGGATGCTGATAAGCTTCTCACACTACCTTGCAAGCATGTCTCAACTTTGACTCACAATTTAACTTGCAATTGTTTGAACAAAGACTGTGCTCCTTGTACCAAATGCGTTCATAGCACAGCGACAGTCCATTATGTATAAGTTAGTTTAAACGGCAACCACCAAAATTAAATTAATATTTCCTACTTGTCAGTTATATTTCAACTTAAAGAAATCCCATATATCTGCATGTTTCTTATACCTCTGGATATACAAATTGATGGTTTTAAAATTCTGCTTTGTACTACTATTATTCTATACCTAGCAGAATTTTTCAGATCTGCGAACAAAAAATCTGAAGTTACTTGCAAGAAACGGACAACACTTTCACAAAGAAATTCAGATCACAGTTGCGTATTAAATCATTTGTTTTTACCTGAGGGGAGGCTAAGCCTTGAGCGTAGGGTGGTAAGCTGTTGTTCTGATCCATGATTCCAGTTATTTCTTTGGTGAGACCAGAAGTATTTCCTTCAATTAATTTAAATTAACTTCAAACCCTAGAGGGTTTTTAACCCTTTAAAACATTCCAGCAAAGTAGCTTTTTAAGCCAAGCTGAAAGTGTTAGGAAAACATCAGCTCCAGAGAAATGCGTCTTATGAGTCTAATATACTAATCAAAGCCTGCAAAGAGAAAAAGTAGTATCTTGAGAACAATATCTAAAAACAAAACCAAAAGCAAACCTATCAGCTGCTGAGCTAGATAAGAGACACCCACATACAAATATATATATATGAGAACATTCACACACACGTGCGTGCACACACGTGCACAATCCATAAAAATAACCTTTTTCAGGCACACTCTATGCAACCTTTGCAGCGCGCTTCTGTTGAAGCCCCCGGCCGGTAACCTGACTCACACGAGCAGGCCTCTATCTAACCAAACCCTGCTGCACAAACAACTAAAGCTGCTAATGCTTATTCTACTCCAAGCTTTGCTTTAGCTGGAAAAGCACTGATTTTTTTAGAATTGAATTCCACTGACTACTAACTGACAAGCTTACTGACACATTGCTTGTAAATCTCTTCCTGGCCATTTTAAGGCTTGGGCTTCCAAAAATATTTTTTCTTCTATGTGAAAAGTATCTCTGGTCAAATCAGAACTAGGTAACACTCTTCCATCCACTTCCGTAAAATAAAGCACTAACACATTTCAAACAACGACACGCGCTTTATGAGAAAAAAAGAAATACGTGAAAGCCAATTTCAGGTACACAAGTGAAATGTATGCACGTTTGTTTTGTTTTTTTTTTTTAACTATACCTCTGTTGCTCTGTTATGGAAATAAACGACACAAGTGGAGAATTTAAATGTAACACCTTGATATCAAGTATTTTTCCATTAAATTATAGCTTTCTTAACTAGATATCTATTGCCCAGAAACACTCAAGATCATTTTTAGGCCAGAAGTGGACCACCTCAAAATTTGAAGAAAGCCTATTCAGCCTTTTTTTTTTTTTTTTTGAGGTATGAGAACTCAGAATTACATTAATATTAATACTGCAGCTGAAAAGACATGCTTTTTTCCCCTGTGACGATAAGACAATATTATCTCACCGAATGTATCAAAGAGCATCCATCCAGATTTTACAACCTGGAGACAGGGGTAAATTAGAAGCCTAAACATTACGCCAGAAGAAACAAAGCCAACTCCTCGACAGCCCAGCTGTTTAGCGGGAAGTCCAGACACCCGGCCCGCCAGGACCCGCAGGCAGCCCACCGCCGACGCAGAGGTCCATCTTGCAACCATCTAACCGGGGCTTGCTCGCCTCCCCACTACCACCGTCGGGGAACGCTTTTGTCGAGGCAACAGAGTCCGGAGGCAAGGGACACCCGGAGAAGGCCCCGAGCCCCCTTTCGGGGCGGGGGGCGCTCGGAAAGAGCCAGTTTCGGCGTGAGGCGACCCCCACCCGCCCGGAGGCCGGCCCCAGCAGCGCGCAGCCGCCCCTGACG